TCTCTTCTCTGCTAGAGCCCTGCAAAGCTGCACAGGACAAAGCCCCTTCCTTCCCTTTTTATTCTGTCCCTGTAGTCTCTAGAAGATATAGTAGCTGTGTGAGTGTGTGCGTGTGTGTGTGTGTGGTGTCTAGTTAGTTGTTTTAAATACCATTTTCCCTTTTCACAACCCAGATTATTTCTGATAGAAACATCACACAAACAGAATGGAAACAGATGGAAACCAAGTGTGGAGAGCCCAACATTTAGACACAATCCATGAAATATGTATTTGTAAGGAAGCCCCAGGGAAAGGGACTCAGAAGGGAAAAACATAAAGCTTGAAAATAAACCCAAAAGCAGGACGCTGGAGAGCCCCAGAGATGATAAAAACATATACAGTTGGTTAGTGGGCCAAACAAGTGAGGTATGTACACTGGAAATTGGTCTGAGAGCTATGCTTCACACAAACATAATAAAATTAAGCAGAACTTACCCTAGATAAAATCTTTAGTTCTTATTTAATATAATGCCTTGATTATATAATACTAAATATTATTGAAAAATTTGTAAATGCAGCTCTTGAGTAGGCAGACATATTAGGATTTTATTCAGCTGCAAGAACCAGAAAAGCTTATGTTAATGATTTAAAAAAATGGAATTAATTTGTCTCTCATGCAAGAGCATTGCATGTAGGTAAAGTACTGACTGTGGCTCAACCAGTTGATGCTGTCAGGACCGAGGTCTTGCTGATGCTTTTGGCCTTTCCCTAGTGCTCACAGAATGTCTTCGGTCATCAGGGTCCTGGTCAAAGGAGGAAGAAGGAGGAAAGGATTGTGCCCTGTGGGCTGCTCAGGTTATCAGAGAAAGAAAAAGTTGTAAGAGAAGGGTCTCTTTTTATACTTTTTTGATTTCCCAGAAGTTTCCCTAGAATTTTGACAAGGTTTATGTGATAAAGCTTTTTTTGGAGATACTATCCCCAGGTATCAAGAGTGAAATAAAGGAGGATGAGTGAGTAAGGAAGCAAAGAGAACTTGATAGATTCTCTAGCAGTCACTGCTTCTTTGCACAAGGCTGTAAGACACAACCCTTATTTGAACAAGTCTACCCTTTTGGTCACATGAAATAACCAACCAACCACAATGGCTACCTGGAAAGATTATGCCTTAGAACAGTCCAGTAGATGGAGCAATGGAAGGAGACTTTATCTTCTGGTTTTGTCCCAGGTTTTATCTCTCATTGATTTAAATTCTTCCCCTAGGAAGTGAATTTCCTAATCTTTCTGAGTTGTTACCTGGCACTTTTAATTTGTATTTTATTATTTACTTGAAAAGCAGAGAAACACACACACAAAAAGAGACAATCCTATCTCCTGATTAATTCTCCAAATGTCTACTATGGCTAAAACAATTGGGGCTGACCAGGTCAAAAATGGGAGTTAGAAACTCAATGTGGGCCTCTCACATGGGTGATAGGACCCCAATTACTTGAGTTGTCACCTCTTGTCACCTAGGGCCAAGAAGCTGGACTCTGGAGCCAGAGCCAGAGCTGGGACTCAAAGCTGGACACTTTGATAAGAGATGCAAGTATCACAGGCAGCTACTTAATGCCTGCTCCAACCCAGCCTTTTTAACAGCTAGTGGGGAAGTCAATTTCCATATCCTGAAATGTGGTCCTTCTTCAGGCTTTGGAAATGATGGGAGGAGTCAGGAACTCTGGATGCTGGATTTAGGCAATACAAACTCTTACTATGTGGAATTCTGAACCACAGAAAGAGTTAAGATACAGCAAGTGGCGGAGGGCCTGAGGGGAAGCTGCTGCTGAGATAATGAGAGGAAACACACAGGACATTATCTAACACAATATTAGAAGACTCCTGATTACAGCTTACTAGCTAGAGCTGTGTCACATGGCCACTGTTAGCTGGGCAGGAGCTGGGAATGTGAGTAGCTTTTCTGGAGCTGAGCCGAAGATTTGGATTTGGTTGGCAAGAATAACGGGGTAATCGACATTAGGGAAGTGACAGTGAGTATTCCAGACAGTGAATTCTGTTGTATACAAAAGAAACCAATTTCCCTAAAGGGGGGGTGGGGAGGGGAGAAAATTGGTGGAAAAAAAATGCTAGCAGTATTAGGAAGGCTCAGTAGGAAGGCTGAGTTTCTGGTTCCTGCTTATTTGGAAGAAAGCAAAAGCTAAAAACACAGGTAGCCAGAACCACATCAAAGTCAGACCAGACTCAGAGGATAGCACAGCTGTGATCTTGTTGCTGCTGGCCCTAGACATGGGATATCGTCGTTGATGCTGCTGCCACTGTATACTGGATGCTGCTGTCTTTGTCAGTAGAGTGAATTAGTTACATATTTACAGGTTCTTCTTCAGAATCAAATTCCAAGGCAAGCACATCTAATTAGTTGAACCAGGTGCTCATGTTCTCACTGGAGGAGTCAGGGATAAAAATTACTTGGCACATTTAGTTTCCATGGAGGTGGACATGACCTTGGCTCCCACAAGACATATTCTCCATACTAATTAAAGGGTTCAGATGCTGAACAGCTGAAAGCAAATAGCACATTACCACCATGGCTTACCACGTTGGCTACTCAACATCCACTTACACGCTAACCCACACTCAAGCTCACATTCTTCCCCTTAAACATGTTCCAACTGATAGGCTGCAGTTCTCTTAGACAACGAAAACATGCTCTGCTCTCAAAGAGAAACATCTCAAGATCTGCCCTACATCCATCTGTCTTTGTTCCTACATCCATCTCCAAGCACAGAGTCTTTGGCTGATGCCCATTCCTCATCTCAGTGCCCGAGATGGTATTGAGTCAATAGTCTGGATCACGTGGGCTGGAACATAAATTCAGTCATCTCCCACACTTGTTGTATGAGAAATCTCTCTTGGCTCTCTTCGCACCCCCTCAATTTACCCTGTCCTGTCTCAGGTGCTCTTGGCCATTGGTGTTGCTTGAACTGCTGCTGTTAAACTGTGGTTGGGTTCAGAATTATTGCACATGAGTGCAACTTACTGGGGAGCAGTGATCTGTAGTATGGATCTACAAGACTCCTGAATAGTGATGAGTGGCTTGGCTTCTTTGTCAGAGATCTGGAAGGAATAAGAATAGACAATAAAGGACAAAAGGGAAAGGGGATGCAGACCCATGAGTGTGGTCATCAATGATATCACTTGCTAAGTCTCACAGTAATACCTGCAAAGAGCATCCATGACCTTGAAATCCCCCAAATTCTTTTTCTCATGTTCCATGTCTAGTTCATTTGTAATCTTACTGAGTCTACTTTCAAATTATATCTGAGATCCAACTACCTCTTAAAGACTCCCAAACCTCCTACAAGTCCCCCATAATTTGGCTCCCTGCAGTTCTCTATCTCATCTGTTCTCCACTGAATTCACTCTACTCCAGTTATGTCGGCCACTTGCTGCTCCCCCAGTGTACTCGACACACATGCATGCCTGGATCTCTGCAGTGGCTCTTTCTTTCCTTCCCCAGGATCTCTAAGTTTCAGGCTTGAATCAAACGTCACCTTTTCAGTGAAGCCAAATCTGAAATACTATGGAAAATTTCAGTCCCTCCAATAACTCCTTAGCCCTCAACTTGTTATATTTTTCTCTGTACTTGTAGATACCTTCTATAGAATTTACTTCTTTGTAATATTTTTTGTCCACATCCCTACACTATAGTGTAAGCTCCATATGAGGAGGGACTGTTTGTTGGCTTTGACATTGCTGAATCCTTGTCATTTGGTGTCATTTGGTGTGATAGGGAGTTGATAAAAGTTTGTGAATGGATGAATGTACTTGAGTGGGGCTGTAAGCTTCCAGCTGGTGCCAGCATATAGTATGACCTTCCTATAAACTGTGTTCAGTCAGTATTTCACAGGGAAGCCATCAATGAGAACAGGCCTGGGTTGAAGGAAGAGTGGTCTGAGAAGGCCTTCTGAGAGAGAGAGATGGTTGTGTGCGCTGGTACTCTCTAGACTTTGTCTGAAATGGCATAAAGTGTTATTGTAGAATCAGCAAGGAAACTGAGGTCCTGGGAATTAAGGAGACGTGTCTAAGGCCACATGGCTATTCCCAAAAAGGTCATCAATATCATTACTTTTGTTACAGCAAGATAAAAATGAAAATGATTTTACAAATACATGGTGAGTGGGCCCAACATGTGGGTGTACATCTAAAAATTCCCCAAATTCATAACAGTCTTGTCTGTCTAGTTTCAAAGAAGGTTCTACATTTCTGCCCTTTTGAGTGGTATGACACCATCAGGATGGCAATGGCAGCTAAGAAAACACAGAAAACACGTAGCATGGAAAAAGACACAGTCACAACAAAGGCTGGCTTTCCTTATCAGTGTGAACCCGAGAACCCAGTGAGTGCCCCCAAATATACATCGATGATGATGCTGTGAGTCACCGCGTGACTCACAGCTCACTGCCCACTACAAAACAGAAACAGGAGGAGTGATTTACTGCCTAGGCCAAAAGGACTTGAAAGAACTTTCCCACCCACCATATGAGTGATATATCAAATTAGGGATAAGGCGCCATCCCTTTTTTCTTCCTGGAGTGGATTAGTTCTCCCTCTTAGTGTGTCTCCCCCAGAGACACAAGGCCAGATAAGCCTCGGGCTTGACTAATAATCCTCTCCCAGGGAACCATTCTATTCTTGTACCTGTGTACTGGGGCTCATTCTGCAACAAAGCTAAGCCATCAGAGTGCCTCAGCACACAAAAATGTACTTCATCACTCCTCAGAGCAAGATGGCTTCTTGGATCAATGTTTTATTCCTCCCCTCCCTCGCCTGTGACACTAAACAGACCCATAGTAAACCGTCCTCGACTGCACAAGTCAGCAATTACACTCAGGGCTAAGGCTTGTTTTCCAAAACTGTTGCTGTGTTTTACTTGTTAAAGTCAAGGACCTGGAGGCCACATCTGAGGGCATAGAGAAGATTAGTGGAAATGCTCATGTTTCTAAAGAAATAACGCTTCTGTTTTACAGATTCATTCCTGTTCCTGAGCGGGGCTACTGTCTTACCATGTGATCTGTGTGCATGGGTTGGTGTTGTTATTCCTGCTCTACCCAGGAGGGTCCCGATGAGGCTGGGAGACTCTGCCTGAGGGCGTGAGGTGAGTTTTGCACAGGTGCTGTTAATGCACACTCTGAAGTTCCTCTCTACCTCATGCAGACTGTGCCTGACAGCTACCCAGGTCCTCCTTCAGGCTCAGAGCACCCTTCCACATACTGATGCTGACACAGGCCTTGTGGTGACAGGAGACTGTCCAGCACTGAGAAGACAGCACTGTTAAAATTGTCTTTTACTTCCATTGCGAGTCCCTGTCTCGGGAGCCATGGGCTCTGTAAGGGAACACCCAGTTAGGAAAGTGTTCTTTTCTTGCCCAAACTATTCCCTCCCACAATAATGGCAAACCCCTACAGGTGCTGTGAAGGCATCTTCTGTCTAGGGTCTCCAGAGCTGCTTGGGGATCACCTGGGTGCACATGGTGTCTGGTGGGTAATTGCAGAGTGCCCTGGTCCTGCTGCTGCAGAGGCCACCTGGCTGGATTGCACAACCAAGATTACTTGAATGATCCTGTGGATGAAAAGCAATTGGGTGAGTATTTTCCTGGTGAAAATGTAGATGCTGAAAATTGGAAAATACTGCTGCTTTGGTGAGGTAAGCTCTGGAGCTCACCTGTAGCAGAATTTCTCCCTTCATTGAGATGTCTTTGCTGTGCTCATTACTCCTTAAATAAGCATCAGTTGAATTCCTACTTGGTGTTGGGTGTTAAGCTAGACTTGAGATACAGAGATAAATGCTGCCTGACATACAGCAAGAAGAACCAGAGGACTAAGGCAAACCTACATCTGTTCAGAGTGGAGTAAACTAGGGAAATGAAAACAAAGTTCAAGTCCAAAGGGCAGAAGGAAGACCAAGAATCAAGACCTTGTACACTTGATAGGGTTGGAGCTGAGGTTTCTGAGGTTTGCTTATCTTGGCTTAGATCAGTACACTCTCCTGTTGAAACATCAAATAGCGTCTTCATTTTGGTCAGCTTGTTGGAATGAATTTCTTTTTTTTTACTTTTAAAAATTAATAAAATTTAAAAATTGACAAATAGAACTCACTTCTAATTGGGAACATTCTACTCATAGTTTAAATTTGTTGTATGTCCTTGGTATTAGTTAATCTAAACTATTGACTGATTGATTCAGCTTAAAGATCATTGATGAAATGGCATGTCAGGAATTTGCTTCAGAGTAATCCAATGGGCGGAGTAAACGGGGTATGGGTGAGGAAGACAGGCCATGAACTGACAATTAAACTGGGTAATGTGTGTACAAAAGTTCATTATTTTATTCTCTCTGCTCAGCCAGAAACGGAAATTTGAAAAGAACCACACCTGCTTCTGACATTTTCTGGTTGTGTGACATTTGACAAATTCTTAACTATTCTAGCCTTCTGTGTTCATTGTAATTAGTTACAATGGAATGAAGATGTCAGGGGAAAAATGTGGTGTTCTACAGAAATGTCCTAATCACCAATGAAATTAAAATTTTATTTATTTTGCTTTATCTGTAGACTAAATTATATCATAAATATGTAAATATAAACATTGTATTAGATATTCAGTGCTTGTTTTCAGGAAATGATGAGGCTAGAAAATATGATTTAAATATGTGTGATCCAGACAAGAGGAACAGGAATAGAAATATAAAATGAAAATTAAAGAGCATCTGGGGCTGGCACTGTAGTGTAAAGCCGCTGCCTGCAGTGCTGGCATCCCATATGGGCACCAGTTCAAGTCCTGGCTGCTCCACTTCCAATCCAGTTCTCTGCTATGGCCTGGGAAAGCAGTAGAAGATGGCCCAAGGCCTTGGGCCCCTGCACCCTCATTGGATACCCAGATCGGCACAGCTCCAGCCATTGCAGCCATCTGGGGAGTGAGCCAGCTAATGGAAGATCTCTCTCTCTCTCTCTCTCTCTCTCTGCCTCTCCTTCTCTCTCTGTGTAACTGTGACTTTCAAGTAAAATAAAAAAATCTTTTTAAAAAAAGAAAATTAAAGAGCATCTTCAGAGCATTGATAAGATAACTTCTAGAAGTAGGTTTTTAACCAAGGAGGCCAAATGATGAAGGAAAGCCATAAAAATGGTTAACCATTGTTTTGAAAGATTTCCCTCAACAGAGAGCAAAGAGATTTTAAATGAGTGTGGGAGCACAGAACAATCAATTAGAGGACTGGATGTTGAAAAGAGGATCTTGAAGCTGGAAAGTCTTTTGCATTGAATAACCTAAAGGTAATGCTCAAAGGAGTGAGTCTGACATCTGAGAAAAGTTAGTGGATTAAACACATACTCATATCTGCTTCTTCCCTAAGTCCCATCAAATGACAATAAAGGAACACTTAAAAAGGCTAAACCCACAAAAAGGGAACGATTATAAGATAAGGCGGCAAAATGAAATTTAGGAAGTCGGAAAGCCAGTGGAGATGAGTGGCATTCTTATCAGACCTGAAAAAGCAGAATCCTAAGCTAGCCGTGAGAAAAGCCGAAATCCAACTGATTTACACGGAAGAGTCCCCAAGACTCAGGCACTGGCAGTGCTAGATTCTTCTGGAAGTGAAAGTGAAAGAGCAGAGTGAATGGGAGGACTGGTTCAAAGTCTGTGTGTCCGGGTCCCAGGTTGGCTATTTGTTCCTTCACCCTGGGAAACGAATATTCTCTGAAAAGGATAAGAGGGGGACTCCAGGCTCATTCGAGGATGATGTATGGGACAGAAGACAGGGAGCCTTGGGTAACATTTCATTTTGGATTCTGAGCCACCTTTCTTCCTTCATGCCTCAGAATATTGGTCTTTGTCTTACAAAGATGTGATTGGGGATTTCCCGCCTAGGATTTTTGATTGGCTTAAGAGAAAATGCCTAAACATATTTTGAAATGCCTTCATTTAAACAACCCAGAAGACAGGTAAAGCTTAGAATAAATATACTATTCTCCCACACTTAGAGGTTTTTAGTGCTTCTATTTTAAATATGAATATTCAATCAATAAATATAACAGAGTATCCATAGAGATCAAAATATGGAGAAAAATGCAACATGAAGGAAAAAAAGGCACGGGTTTTAAAAAACATGTCCATGAACTTTTTTACATTTTCCCATCAAAAGGTAGAGTCTACACCCTCTGTTTTTGAATATGAGCTGGCCTTAGCAACTTGCTTCTAAAGAATATTCTGCAATTATATTGGTCAGCTTTTTGTCACTAAAATGAAATGCCTAAGGTAAGCTACTTACGAAGGAAGGAGATTTTTTTTTTTTTTTTTGACAGGCAGAGTGGACAGTGAGAGAGAGAGACAGAGAGAAAGGTCTTCCTTTGCCGTTGGTTCACCCTCCAATGGCCGCCGCAGCCGGCACACCGCGCTGATCCGATGGCAGGAGCCAGGTGCTTATCTTGGTCTCCCATGGGGTGCAGGGCCCAAGTACTTGGGCCATCCTCCACTGCACTCCCGGGCCACAGCAGAGAGCTGGCCTGAAAGAGGGGCAACCGGGACAGAATCCAGCGCCCCAACCAGGACTAGAACCCGGTGTGCTGGCGCCACAAGGCAGAGGATTAGCCTAGTAAGCCGCGGCGCCGGCCGGAAGGAGATTTATTTTGGCTCATGGTTGTGAGGGTTCACAGTGAAAAACCAGGCAGATCCCATTGATTCTACTTTCTGGTGATGTTGGAGGATGGCAATGGTGGAGAGCATTTGGAGGAAGGATCACTTGGCAAGGCAGGAAGCAGAGACTCAGGCTTTTATAGTCAGCTCTCTCATGAGCACTACCTACTAAGTGCACCCTCCAGTGCCCTACAGACGCCCCACTAGGCCCACCTCCTACACACAGTATATAGATTAAGTTATCACCCTCTTAGTACCATTCACTGATGACTTTCAGACTTTGCATGAATCCAGGAGCCATATCGAACTCAAACCATAGCAGTGAGGAAACTAAGCTTTGTGCTTTTTGAGGCCAGGTCATAAAGGCTAATGTAGCTATCACGTGATTCTTTCTCAATACGTCCCCCATGGAATGCAATCATGATTCTGTGAAGAAGGCAAGTGGCTATGTGAAAAGATAGAGCAGGATACTAGCCAGTAGTCAGCATCAGTGGCCAGATGTGTGCGTGAGTGAGCCTTCACGTGATTACATTCCCCCAGCTTTGGAGCCGCCCAGCTTCACTTTAGCAAGTCCAGCAGAATGAGCTTTCCTCAGAGGGTCCTGCCTAAACTACAGACTCATACACAATCAATACTATTGTTGTGTTAATGCAAGAATTCTTGAAGTCGTTTATCGTGCAGCAATAGAAAACTCGAACATAGAGATTCTGTAGGGAGAAGAAATTTTCAGAATTCACAATCAACTCTTCTTTTGGTCAAAATGAAGTGAGAGGAATTATCCTCCGTCCTGGAACAGCTGAAAGTCTGGATAAAATATATACAACAAGACATTGGACATCAAACAATGAAAAACATTGATCCCTGAGAAAAGAGACCAATGAGGTAAATTCCACAGTTGCCGCAGATTGCTACCAGGGAAAGTTCCCAGAGTGTGTCTTAGGGACAAGGAAGCAGGGCATAGCCCAGTGGACTCCTTAAACTGAGACAGAGCAAAAACAAGCGACAAGAGAGTCTAATGCTTTTGTGGTGGAGTACAGAGATAAGAGAGACTCACAGAGAAAGGGAGCTCAGGAGATCTGAGAAGGCACATCCTCTCAGCTGAGTATGGATCAGGGCATGCCTGTGAGGAAAATACTCAAGGCCAGGGGAAAAGCACCCAAAGGGATTACAGTGGACAGTGCTCTCACAGCTGATAATAGGTATAGAAATAAATATGTCCCCACCAGCTAGAATGGAAAATCTCACAATTCATCAGACATCAGGTAGAGTGCAAAGGAAGGTTTGCTTCAGTAGTGGTACAAAGTTAGCCTTAGATTAAATATTTCTCTTGTCTCATGCAGTAAATCCTTTTTAAAAAAGATTTATTTATTTATTTGAAGGTCAGAGTTACACAGAGAGAGGAGAGGCAGAGAGAGAGAGAGGTCTTCCATCCGCTGGTTCACTCCTGAATTGGCTGCAATGGCCAGAGC